AGGTACACTATTTTGTCCTACTCATATACATATACGTGCAAACGTATCATGTGTTATAATGATTGTATTATATAGCATATAAAAAAAAGAACGTGAGAAAAATATGTTTCAAGTTCTAAAAGAATATTATACGCAATGCCATTAAAACATGTATTAACGCGAAAAGTATGGAACTGGGAAGAACGTTTATTTCTGGATATTGTCGAATATGAGGATTTATTTTTGTGTGCGGAAGTAATAAACCTTTCCTTTCCACAAAATGACGAATCTCTGCAATGCGTGAATATATACATACAGACATACATTAAGGATTATTATATAAAAATCACAAGATTGTATCTGCTTCGCGTGATGGTAATACTACAGTGGGTGGCAAATAATATTTAGTGATTATTTTCATTTCTCGCTCTTCTCCCTCGTCCTTTGTTTCTTTCACCTGGATTGTATCTTTTTTAGTTTCTTGTTTGTTAATTTTTTTTCTTTTTAGTATAATATCTCAATTACACCGCTTTTACACGGTATTTGTTAATTTGGGTTCACTTTGGTATAACTAATTTCTCCACTTGTATTTTTCCTTGGCCTATATACAAAATTTTCAGATAAAATGATGTAATTTAGCATTGGTAACATCTGCAACTTGTAAGAGAAATAATTAGAAGGCAACGTTGCTAAATTATATCATTTTAGCTTATGTGAAAGTGTAAAAAAATCATGATATATGTTGCGTATTTTTGCATACTAGTATGTCTTCTTACGTATTGTCTTATCTTACGTATTGTTGCCCAATGCGTTAATATCTATATCAAATAACATATCTTATATTGTAACAAGTGCTATAGACATTAATTAATATTGGATGTACTTGTTATAATTGTTATATTTCCTAATGAAGTTTTTATATAGCGAAGTAATAATAGTAAAATAATAATTCAAATATAATGACACATATTGATATTTTTTTAAAAATTATATATCAGAGAGAATTAATTTTATTACAAAAAGTCCAACAGAGTTAGGATATCTGTTTTTTTACTGACACTAGTAGTATTACCAAAACCGCTGTAATGTTAATTTTTTCTTGAGTGTGTGTGTAAGTATCACAGATTCCTAAGGGCAAGGCGGAAACAATTGACGATAGTTGATAAATGTGTTTATTTCTTTGTGAAAGAAAAATTTACGAGAAATTATATACTTTTATCTGTCCAATGTCTGGAACAACCTAATGAGTTTGGGAGGCATAAATCTTTTCGTTTCGAATCGAATTTATTTACGTAATCTTTCTTTAATCAATCTTGTCCTGCTTTGTTTGCCTCCCATAGTGTCTCTAATAACATACTGTCTCTTGGAGAAATACATTTTAATTACGATGAGTTAAGTTACGATATATCATACAAAATTTGTTACCCATTCGCCATCATCGAAATACAAGCTTCTCTTCAATGGTATCTGTAGCGAGACTCGTATGAAAAAGAGAGAAATTGTTTTGTGAATTGAGAGCACTATAGGGGGCTGACAAACGCTTCGGACAATACTTTTCTCGCTGTATTAAGACAAATAATGTTGCAGCAATAAAATGTAAATTAGCATACGGAGTATTTGTTTTTTTCTGAACGCTACTGATACAGAAAACGCAGCAATACTTTGCCCTTTGTGCGGGAACAATCTAATGCATCTCGCCAGGGATATGTGTACTCTCGTGATGGCTTAAAGCAAATCTATTACTCAGAGCATTACTGCGTTTTTAACACTTATCCTCAATCCTCTAAATCTGATTAGGACTGTTCCAGACCTATTGGTGGCGGTACTAACAAATAGCTTATCCTAAAATATGTATATTGTATTTCTCTGTCGAAAAATCTAACATTATAGTAAATGAATTTCATTATAGTAAAATTGTAAAAAGATCAATGCACATCACACTCAACAAAGTGCACTATTTGCAACAGACCTAATCAGACCATTTCCCGTTTTTTCTGATTCTTTCTCTTCTGTAGATAACGATATCATGCTTTATATCATAAAATCAGTCATATTAATTATATCTGTAAATTTTATGAGGTGCAAATATTTTGATTTAAAAAGTATTAAAAGCGAAATTTATTAATTAATAGTATAATACAGTTCAAAAGTTATACATATTTTATATATAATATTAATAAAAATAGTTGAACAAATTAAGAAAATAATTAAGAGTATAATTCTTTACATTGGGAAGCAAATATTTGCAGTTTCTCGTCATTATAAGATTTGGGATACTCTGCATAGTAAGAGGGAGTTTCGCTAATTGAGAGAATCGATACTGTCTAACTTAGACCATTATCGAATCGTATCTCTCTGATGAGATTTTATAAAAAAAAAAAAATGAAAAAACATAGGTAAGTACGTTACGCTTTAGTGATAACAGAGGTTTACGTGATAGTTTAGTTCTAAATAAGATATATTTATTGATATGAAAAAAAAAGTCTTGCTTTAGATGTTATCTGTATTAATGTAACGTGACGCTCTGTTTTCCAGGGAAATCAACGAACGGTAGAGCGAAGGTGCCCTTGGCGCAGTGGAATTCCGGAGTTGAGCATGGTGGCAACGTCGGTAGCGTGGACGACGAGGCATCCTTGATCACAGAATCCAGCCCGGTTTCACCGCCGTTTGTCCGTGCGCCAGCGGAGGATCGTTCTAAGTACGAAAAGTTGGCATTCAATGCCGATGAAATATCGAGTGATAGCGACAAGGAAACCAAGGAAGTGAAGGAGCGAGCGAAGAAGGCAAAGAGAAGGCGTGTAAAGAATGTGTTGAGCCGCAGAAGAAGAGTCGCTGCCCAGCTGCATGACAACGCGGAAAACGCGACGAACGTGGATTATGAGTCGGATGATTCGATCGGTTCGGCCAGCGACCTACGCGCAATGAACGACGAGGAAGGTAATGACGGCGAGGTAAACGACGATGAGGACGATGAGGACGGCGACGTGTGCGGAAAGCACGACGAGACCATCTCTGAGAGTGTGCGCACGTGTGGCAGCTCCGCGTATCACGCGGAATGCGAGTCTGTTGCGACACACGAAGATGATTATAGGATGAAGAGGCCGAGGAAGCACCACTATCGACAGCACGAGCAACAGCTGCCGACAATCGATGCGGATCCGATTGTTGGCCATCAATATGGTGAGAAGCCATTGTTGTTGGACGACGAATTAGATCCAGAGTCCAAACCGGAGCAATCGCATGGCGATCCTTTCGTGCGACATCAATATGGCTCAAAGCCGCTGTTGTTTAACAACGGCGATAGCTCGTCCGACGATAACGACAAGTCCAAGTCGCTCAATAACGGGATCTGGAAAGTGGAAGATGACGTGTTCGCCTTGGCACCTTTTCCGAGGTCCAGCAGCTCGCGAAAGAGCAGCGACAGTCGCGAGAGCGAGTCCAGGAACATCGATCTAGGCGGCAGTGCGAGGAACTCGCCTCACAACTCGAATCTGGTGACGCCGATCTCGAGTTCGCCTATACCGGCGGAGGTGTTTGTGGACATGGTGGAAAGCAAACCCGCGCTTCCGCCGTCCAAGTCCGCCGTTCTCTCTTGTAAATATCCCAAAAGTATTGCAATTGTGAATAGCAAGATTATCTACGAAGAGCCAGTGTCGTTCCATCAGCCGAGCGTTATCCAAACGTCGTCGCCAGTCAAAAACAGTCCTCATGTCAGCGTTGCTGAAGAGGAAGAGGAGGAGCAAGAAGAGGAGAACATTGAGAAGGATCTCTTTGGTTCTTCCCCGTTTAGCCCGAGTGGATTCACCAATCCTTTTAATAACGCTCAGTCCAATTTTTCGAACATCGATTCCGCGCCGACTCAGCCCTTGTCAATTCTGAGTCCAGTCGGCCCTTCATCATACATTGATTATGCCAACTGCGTTTCACTGCAGTCTCATAACATGACATCAGACAATTATTTCACTAGTCACTCGAGCACAATCGCGTCCACGTCGAAATATGGCAGGGTGACGGTGAACTCCGACCCAACGATTAGTGTGGAACCCTCCAAGGATCTCTTCGGATCGATTCCATTCGAGGAATTCGCCTCACTGAAGCTTAATGAGCAACAACAGCAGCAGCAGCAACGCCCGACGTCTCTGTCGCTGTCGCAGTCGCTGTCACAATTGCAGTCACAGTCGCCGAACTACGTAGACAACGTCGCGTTAACGACGACATTGCCGATCAGCAGCGTTGTGCAATCCCCAAAGAATACTATCGTTCATTTAACACCCACCCTGCAATCACAGCCACAACCGTCCGCCTATATGATTCAAACGACCACCACACATACCGCAAGAATCACCGTGCACGCAGTCAACAGCGTCTCTAAGGTGGACATCACTTCCAATATGATGTCACCCATGTCGCCCGAACCTCTGGTCGCTACGGATGACGACACGCCGAAACACAACAAGAAAGACAAATCCAAATCGGATAAGTCTAAGTATCACCTGATCAATGAAAACCACGGTGATATCACCGATGTATTACCGACTTATAAGGCGTCTCACAAGATCAAATCAGCAAGCCACAAAAAAACACCCAAGGGCAAGAAGAGCACGGCCGCAACCGCTGGTTTCAGTAATATGAGCTTCGAAGATTTTCCCAGTGACGAGAACGAAGAGAGGCAGACAGATCGAATGAAGGTAGCGCCTTTTGAGGTGATCCGCGAAGCGTCGGAGAAGCGTTTTGGATCATTGAAGAGACGGAGCAATCCGTTCACCTGAAATGAGATGGTTTTTGTTAGAAGCTAGTTAATACAAAGCCGTTTATTAGCAACACAGAAACTGATAGAGCAGCGATATGATATAGTTGATTAATTCGTTGTGTATATTGTAGAGATAAACCTCGGTAAACACACCGTTCTATACACACAAAATTATTTGATTGATCAGAGTTTTATTACGTGTATTGTGAATGTACACACATACGCACACTAACAGCGTTAGCAAGATATTAATCTTAATAGATAATAAAAATGACATGATAAAATTTCCAATTGGGAGTTGATACACAGGTTGTATATATGTAAAAAACGTTTGCGTTTAAGACAATTTGTTTTTCGGACGCGCAAATACATCAAGAGTGAAATTCCGAGTGAATAAAGTTGCGTTTGTTTCACATGCTTGTTTTCGGTTGCGCGTTTGTGAAAAAATAATAAATCAGAGAAATTAATTTATTTAATAGATCTCTCGTAGAAGATTGCAAAAAGTAATATTTAAAATTTTTATCTCTATGATTAAGCCAATGCATCGAATGCTGCAGTGTTAGAAACTGCTTCTTTAAATGCTTAACTTGTTCTCGAATTAACAAAATTCTACGATCATGATCAACATCTTTTTGACACCCATTCATTTTTTCACAAACGTCAACAATGTGATGTGATAGCAGCAAAAGCTGCATATGTTTATATCAGAAGATATACAACATGAGCAGATATATTTATATGTACACACATGCCTAACTGACAAACGTGTGATGGTATAAAGCGTGATTTACACTATAATGTCGGAAAGTATTAATTCATATACTACCATTTTTTAATTACTTTTTGCATTTTTAGAAGATTTACACAGATAAGACAGATAGATAAGAAATTGACGGAAAAAAAGACATTATATTAAAGAAAACTTGATTTTTAAAGTATTGAAAAGAAAGAGTGAGAAAGATAGAGAGAGAGAGAGAGAGAGAGAGAGAGAGAGACAGAGAGAGACACTTATGATTTAACATAAAACCAGGTTGTGAAACTTGGCAGCTCGATACCAAAAATGATAAAACTAGGTAGAGAAAGCTCGTGCATCTATTTTTGCAGCTAAGTCTTTTCACTACGTTTGTACTTTACAAAATTTGTAGATTTCTACTAGTTCAATCTACTAGTTCATACAAAGCAATTTTTCTAAGAAAGTTAATCTGTGTACTATATACATATATATACCTGTAAACATAATTCATTGCAAAATCGGTGAAAAAGATAATTTTTTTTATATATTTATGGTCTCTTGGAGAAGAGATTATAACAGAGTATGATTAACATAATGAATAATTTAGAAATTAGTGTTACAAAGGCGCAGATAATAGCATTGTGAAGCGATTCATAACATTTGTAAAGGAGCGAATAGGCTCGCCTAGAATTGGCCTTACCGTGTAAGACTGACTTATTGTTTAACAGTCTCGATTTACATTTTCATTGTGTAAGATAGCTATGTTTTGACAACATTATGATTCATAGACACGAATTATTCGAAACAAATACTAATAACGCGATTACTATGCCTCTTATGATGGAGACTGTTAAATAAAATGTATGAAAAGTAGATGTGATACTAGTACTTAGTGTATAGGTACTAGTGAGAATATTTATCGACGTTAATTTTTCTCACATTAAGAGAATATCTTGTATGTGTTAAATTATTCGATTTCAGCAATTGAATTTTAATATGTTTTATATAACTTTGGAAATTATTTTAACCAAATTTTATACTGCTAATATACTGCGCCTTTTTAATTGATTCTACGAAAAGAATCTAGTTCAGTGTAAAAAGATGACAATATGCGTGCGTGCGTGCGTGCGTACGGGTGTGTGTGTGTGTGTGTGTGTGTGTGTGTGTGTGTGTGTGTGTGTGTG